CCCAGTCCTCGTGCCCCATCCCAGTGGGTCGGGCTCCTGGTAGGCCATCCCCCTTCCCCTCGCCTCCCTGGAGTGGCTATAGTGAGCATCCTTTTTTTTTGTTTTCAGTGAGCATACTCTCTTTTCTCACTTGGCTTGTAAGCAACACACACCTTACACACCATGTGCAAACTGCTCGGCACTCAAAAACGAGTTCATGAATGAGTACAGAAAACAAGTACCGGTGCGTCTCGCACGCGCCGAGTTTGAGAAAGCAAACAGCCATGTGGCACTGCGTAATAAGCGCAGATGTCATAACTACAGGGGCGGGCCATGGTCTGCAGAGGCCCTGAGTTCAAAAACGGGCAGAATACGGCTATCTGTGTGCTAGTTTTGGAGTGTCAAACTACTGCCCACCTGAAGTTGTTGTCACCTGTTCTTTCTGCCCAAACTCAAACCGTGACACCAGTGTAGTTGTTTCTTTCCTTTTTTTTTTTTTTTYTTTCTTTCTTTTTTAGATGGCTCCAATTTGTTCCTCGAGAGCAGCATGTGCTGCGTACTGTGTCCCATTATGAACAAAAATCATGGCGGTGCATCTTTCCATATTCTAGCGGAAGATTCACTCTCGTTTTGCACAATGGTTTCTACGTATTGGGCCTCGCTGCACTACTCTCGAAATGTGCAAAACGAGAGTGAATCTTCGGCTAGAATATGGAAAGATGCACCGCCATGATTTTTGTCTTTTGTGCATGTCGAGAGTAGTGCAGCCACGCCCATTGTCTGGACAATAAGAGTGCGCAATACATCGGATTATCCTTGAGGAAATCCCTCTACTTCTTTTTTTTCAAATTTAAAGTTTAAAGACATCCCTCTCCCCATCTGAGGGCATACTGACACTAGGCCCTCAAAATCCCAAAACCCCAAAATGATCGGCCAGATAGAGTCCTTGTAAAGGGAGGACTCCATCTGACCTCTCATTTTGCGATCTTGCATTTTTGAGGTCGTACTGTGAGTATGCCCTCATTGCTCATGAGGTTTTTGCCACAATGGCCTCGATTGTCTTCTTGGAAAAAAAAAAAAAGCCCAGTGTCCTGTCTCCTGTATCGCTGAACACTGAAAACCTCTCATCCGGCAGGGGAGGGGAGCGACCTACCGGCGCTGAGCGCTCCGTAGACGCCCGCCGGTCCGGGCGGACCGACACTGCTGACCACCAACCCGGCACGCTGCCAGGAGAAGTGGCTCCCGACGTCTCGCTTCGCCATCGCAAAGCAAACCCCGGTATTTTCTAGGGGGAGATATGGACGCGGGCCAGCGGGCCAGACCAGATACACGATGACTTCTAGCATGAGTACAATGAGTTTTGGACACGGCGAAGACGCCATGTCCCCGACGAGCACCTGCAGCCAGTAGCGGCGACCCACTCCTCCTCCAAGTCTTCAACAACAGCAATCAGGTATAAACCCTACCCCTATTCCCACATCAGTTTCCAATATCTATTCTTCCCAGACTGTCCCCATCAACTCCAACCATGTCAGCCACACTCCCACCCTCCGCCAGAGCGGGAGGAATCCCTCCATCACAAGCACAAAATGAAACGTTAGTAAACCCCAACCAACCAACCCCTTCGGAGGATCTCCCCCGAATCCGAACTCTCCTCGACAAGTGTTTCGATGACGGGTTATTTCCAGAAACTGACTCTTGTCGGGCTATTTCCAGAAACTGACTTCAGTCACGGCGACACCGAGATTGTCGACGGCGTAGGATATCTCACGTTGACTGATGAGGTCAATTCAGCAACCATCAGTTGGCTCAAGGAACGAACAGTCGTTGTCATCTTCGACGTTAGGGCTACTACACTAACCGTGGCACAACGAGAACAATTCATTCGAATTTATGAGGATGCCTGGTACCAGGACATCAACATGAATCCTTCTCAGAAAAGGGGCCGAACACATGGAGAAGGGCCTAATATCATGTCCTATGTAGCACGAAACCCACGAATTGCAGAGATGCTCATCAACAAAGGGCACGACCTGATTCCATCCAGAAATGGCCCGGTCAAAGTTCAGTTTAAGCCATGGATGACTCAAACAGAGCTTAACCGAATGAGAGACGCTGACGCCGCCTCCAAATACAGGATCATTGCTCTTTGAGTTCCACTCGAATCGATGTTTTCACTTCGATATTCTGTACAAAAACTGATGGGACTGATCAGATTGATGCACCCACCGGACATAAACGAAAATGAACCGCGATTGGGAAATGTAAAAATTGATTGCCACCCATCAGTTAAAGACAACTTTCTTGAGTGGATAGTAATTCGTGCACCAGGAGGAGGATTCATGGAAATCCAATTTGCCAATCAGGACACATCGTTCTGCCGCAAATGTCTCTGGTGGTATCACAATGAGTTCGACCCTGACTGTCCTCGTTTTCAAGAGCCAATGCCCCCTGGTCGAAGAAATCGAGGAAGGGGAGGCAGAGGCGGGCGAGGTCAACCACCGTCGAACCCTGCTCGCAACCCTATACATAGACAACCCAATCCTCGCCCCCGTCCACCCCAAGCGTCATCTTCCCCCGCCACTTCGCACCGACAATTCACTTCTTCCGCAATACCCACCTCCTCCTCTCATCCCACACAACCGCTTCCTCTCCATCCTGTCATCATCGGCACTCAACCACCACCACCGAACAACTGCCCTTCACACCCTACTTTAACCACCGTACCTGCACACGCATCTTCCATTCACGCCACACTTCCGCCTCCTCCTCGTCCTCTCATCATTGGCATTCAACCCCCACGATCGAATTACAACCCATCACACCCCATTCCAACCAACATACCTCAAACACAGCACCAACCTATTAACCCCTCTCTCGCAACACGGCCCCCACCTTGTCCCTCACTCCACACCCCGGCCCATTGGTCCCCTTTCACCAACTCCCCCCCTCTCGTTGCTATTAACACACTACCTCCGCCGATGCTTCAACTTCACCCATCAGCCTCCAGTTCCCACCCCTCCGCACTCTCCACCAACCCGCCTTACGCGATACCCTCCGCATATTCTTCTCAGTTTTCTCTTTACCCCAATTTCCCTCTCACCCAATATCCGCCACCACCTCCGCCCCAATACTCCACATTCCCCTCCACCTCCTATTCGCCACCAACCAGATGCGTCTTCCACACACCAGCTTCTCCCACAACCCCCTCCCCTGAACCCTCTTCCCCCACCAACTAACCAGACTTCGTTTTCCCAATACTCTCTCCGTGACAACCCCACCTTCATTGCAACACATCCGCACACTTCGAATCCCCAATCACCAACTCCACACCAAACCACAACCTCACTCCAACCAACACAACAGCACACTCTCGCTCCCTTGACCACTGTAAACAATCAACAAGAGGAGCAAGACCAGGTGATGGCAGAGCCCAGACCCACCACTCACACCACCCTCAAGCTCAGACGAATAGGTGAGCAAGGACAAGAGGAGATCACAAGAGAGGCAGATGAATCTCAGCTGGAATTCGTAACTACTCCACGAGAGGATGGCCCATCGCATCAGGCCTATAAAGCACTGAGCCAGCACATCTCAACCCCAGTTGGACCACCTCCTGGATCCACCACCCAGTTACTTGTCCTTCTCTGTTTTTCTTTAGCTCCGCAAACAACCAAATTCCTTGCAAAGAGGCTAGATAATGGTCTCCTCGCCATTCCATCAGTTGCCATTGATTCATCTCCAACCGCAAAGGACGCAGTAAAGCAGGCTGCAGCCTCATTTATTGCGGATCGATTTCCATTTCGACTGATACCGGGAATCAGAATCGGTCGAATAACGGTAGCAGCAGCAGCAGGGGGCAGTTGGCACTTTCACATAGCATTATTAGATGCCAAAATTGTCACGGATACTGCCGCACTCCTGGCAACTCAAGGAATTGTCTGGCTGCCAGCCACATGGCTGACGTCCAAGGAAACATCGGAGCTTAAGGAAACCTTTGTCACACAAGATGTCGATGCTAGATTTTTGGCAGAGTTTTGTCTCACATTAGCGGCAGATAAACAGCCAAGCTCAGTGCAGTTCAGGAACTCACTCATGACACCCTGGACAAACACTGCCGAAGCAGACATGCCGAGAAGGGCACGTGCTGACAATTTGCGGATCCAATCATCTTCTGCTGCTCCCGTCCTTCCAAATGGTCAGGCTTAATTTTGCAACCTGGAATGTAAGGGGCCTAGGCGATTCTTCAGGCAAGTTAAAAAAAGCCAGAATAAAATGCTGCCTACACGATGACCAAATTCATATAGCAGTACTGCAAGAGACCAAATTAGATGAGTCTAAGATTGCACAGTCAGCCAACTGGTGGAAAGGCCCTCAGCTGTGGGCCCCAGCCAACGGAACCCCAGGGGGGACGGCTATTTTATTTCACAAGGATCTTGACATTCAATTCATTGACCACCAGATTGACATCTGGCAGATTGACATCTGGGGCCAATGGATTTGGGTCGAGATCAGACTGGGCACACAGACATGGGTCATAGCAACAGTTTATGTACCCTCTGATCCAATTGAAAGACGCTCCTTTCTTCAGGAGCTACCTCACATATTGCCGCAGTCACCTAATCTCCTCATAGCAGGGGATTTCAACACTGTTCTCACCCCGGGCTTAGACTCTCCGAATGAAGGACCAAGAAAGGCCGATGCAATTATGCTCCAAAGCTTCCTTGAGGCTGAGGGATTCACAGATGTTTTTAGACAGATCCATCCTTTCGAACATGGTTACACTTGGTTTTCTTCGCAGTCTGCAGAGAATCGTCCGTCTCCCAAAAGACGCCTAGACCTCATTTTGGCCAAGGGCCAACCTTGGGAGGCTGTTACAGACGTGCAAGTCTCAATCCAGTCTCTCTCTGACCATCGTCCCATCCTAGCTACGCTGGAAACAGGAGTCTCTATTAACAAAGGCCAAGGAATTTTTCGACTTAACACTGAACTCCTCCAAAACCCTGATGTGCTACGATGGGTCCAAAACCACTGGACAGACTGGAACGCTACCAGGGAATGGTTTATAATGGAGGAAGAGTGGGTCCAGCTCGGCTTCAGGATTGTCACAAGGGCATTGGACGTCTTTTCGCGTATTTATGCAAGAGGAAGAAGGCAAGAGGAGGAGGACTGCAAGCGGGAGATAGCAGAAGTTGAAGAGATATTAGAGACACAACCATTGACGGAACTCTATTGGGAAAGACGCAGAGATAGAGCCCTAGCTCATCTGGAACAGATACAAATCGAACAACAGGTAGCATGGGCGAAAAGAGCAGCAGAACGCAACATGGCCTGTGGGGATCGCATGACCAAGGAGACTTTTCTCCATATCTGCCCCCCTCGGTCACACATGCTTTTCAGGGAATTAATGCATCCTTTCCTATCGCAAGCAGACATGGCTACAGACTCTCAGACTATCGGGGAGTATGCACAGGAGTTTTATCAGGACATACTTACCTCCAGACGACCTCCCAACCAGTCCTTGCACCAGCTCCGACAAGAGAACGACCTCTGGCAGCATACTCACATAGCACTTACTCAAGATGCAAGATTGCTCTTGGATAGACCAATCACGATTGAGGAATTAACTGAAACTGTGAAGACAATGGCTAGAGGCAAAAGCCCTGGAGGCGATGGCTTACCGATCGAGTTTTATGAAGCAACGTGGAGCATGTCCGGACCTATCCTTCTCAGCATCTTCAACCACATTTTGGAGGGAGGACAGCTCACGGAGGACATGAGAACCAGAGTTATCACACTAATCTACAAGAAGGGCGATAAGCGTAACATCAGGAACTATCGCCCTATCTCCCGGCTCAACGCTTCATACAAGATCTTAGCCAAGCTCCTCGCAAGACGTCTGGCCCCATTGCTGCCAGCACTCGTGCATCCAGACCAAGGAGCCTTTGTGCAGGGTAGGCTAATCTCTGAAAATATTTTTTCAGCGATCGGCGCACTGGAGATAGTTCAGAGAGAAAACAGACAAGTCATGATTGCAATGTTAGACCTTGAGAAAGCATATGATCGGGTTAACTGGTCGTTCATATTAGCTACATTGCAACACATGAACTTTGGGTCCGTCTATCGCACATGGGTGGCAGCGCTATACACAGATTCTACAGCGTCCCTACTCTTAATGGGCATCAGACTCCGTTCTTCTCTCACAAGGTCTTTGAGGCAGGGATGTCCCCTGGCCTCGCTTCTCTTTGTGGTTCAGATGGAGGTTCCCCTTAACTCACTGAGAGCGGCACGCATCTAGGGACTTCAACTTGGTCAAGACCACGTATACATCACGGGAGCGATTGCCGACGACCTGCTGCTTCTCTCCGAGGCAGACCCACAGTCAATGCAGGAGGTTAAAAAAGTTTTGGATTCATACGCTGCTCTCTCAGAAGCAAAGGTAAACTGGAACAAATCAGTTTACTTTTTGCCAAAGGATTACCAACTCGCAGAAGACTGGGGAATGAAGCGTATCGAACCAGCTGCCTCGGAAAGATATTTAGGAGTTCAAGTTTCCCTGGGCGATCCCAAACCTAAACAAGATGCAATTCTCCTTGCCAGGACGCAGGCAGCAATAAAACGCTGCCGAACGTCCACAGGCATCTCACTCTATGGCAGAACTCTGCTGATCACGACGGTGGTATTCGCTCAACTCTGGTATGTTGCATTGGTTCTACAGCTATCCAGGGCCACCCTCAAGGGCACTAAATCACAAGCTGCTCGGTACCTCTGGAAGCCTACTGCGGAAGAGGAGCAAGGTTATATCACCAAATGCGTGTGGACCAAGGTCACCAATCATAAGGCACAAGGCGGACTAGGCATCCTTGACCCGGAAGCACAAAACCTCGCCCTTCTATTCAAATGGTTCCTAAGAGCATGCACACAACCACAACCCCGGAAGTGGCTACTGGTCTTTGAGTATTTGGCACAGCAGGACCTTGCCCTTTCCCGCCCGAAGGACGTCTGGACCTGTCTTCAGATGGAATCATACACGCGAAGAAGACCACCCTCTCCGTTGATCTCAGCATGTTGGGCAGCCTGGAGAGCCCTAAACAAGCAGCAGCCCAAGCAACCTGTCACGCAACAGGAAGTGCTGCGCCAACCGCTTTTTGACAATCGATACATATTAAATGCAGAGGGTAACTCATTCCCAGCTACCTGCACAGGAGGCAACTTTGGCAGAAAGTGGGTGGAGAGAGGTGTATCCACAGTGGCCGATCTCTGGGACCCACAAACAGAAACATGGAAGAAGGCACAGCAACTACAGCCAAAGCTAAGGCGTTTGCGGGGAATAGAAGACAGACTTCAACTTCTCCTCCAGGCCATACCGGCTGATTGGCAGTCATTGCTGGAATCGAAGGCTCCAATAGTAGGCCAATGGTACAGTCTGCAGGAGTCAACTGGACAGACAATTATCCTTAAGGTAGAGGAGCAGCTGGACTCAGAGACTCTCCGAGCACAGCATTGGACCTGCAATCAGACGAAGGAGCCTATAATTCTCGCCTACCAACGAGATATCAGCATCAGAGGGGACGACCACCTTTCCCTCATCAGAGTCCACTGCAAGACGACTCCGAATGGACATGCAACTTACTCTCTTCTTCTGAGAGGATTGTCGATTCAAGATATGCGCATAGATCCGATGGGTTCATTCTGGACAGACTCGCGTGGAGTGAGAACATACTTCTTTCAATATACTTCCGCATTTGGCAGGAAACTCCTAAAGAGTCAAGTTAACCCAGCAGAGGAGGCAGCCCGAAGACTTAACCTGACAACGGAGATTGCGCTACCGGTTCAAGCTCAAGATATATCCCGACTGTGGTTACAGTTACCCAGACTACCTTCTCTCAAATTTGCCAGCTTGCTGTGGCAGCTTTCACACACTGTCCTACCTTGTGCAGTCTGGTTGTTTGAGAAAGGTATGGAACTGGACACCAAATGTCGTAGATGCGGGCATCGAGCAGAGGAAACATTAGTGCATCTTGTTTGGTCCTGTCCAGCATCTAAGCGCATATGGCAATGGTGGAGCAGACACTGGCTGACCTTTGTCGGCGATGCACTCAGTTGGGATGAGGCCTGGGCCATGCAGGGGAAGCTTCCCAGTCATTGGTTTAATGGCACAGGAAGAGGCTATGTGGCCCAGGCTATCCGTTCAGCCATCCTGTGGACGATCTGGACAGATAGAAACAACGTGGTTTTTTTGAACCAATGGACGGCAGACGAGCAGACCATCAAGAGAATCAAGGCGGTCATCAGAACGATGATCATAGTTGACTGGACCAGAAGAGCAGCAAAGGGCACAACTCCAAGGGGAAGACATTGGTTCCTAGTGACTTGGGCAAGGGACAACCAGTTAGCAGTGATCACACTGGAAGGGCGGCTGGTCATCTCTCAGTGGCTTACATCCTAATTCCCCCCCTCATTCATAACATATCCTTCCCTCCTCTCACTTTGTCTCTCTCAACCTATCTACTCCTTGGATATTCACAACCAGGTGCACTCGGTTTTATAGGTTGCAGTAGACCAGTAGGGGTAGGTGGGTTGCGGAGAGTGCTGTACAAACTAGGGGACTTGTTCAGTCCATCAGTCGAGTTAGACTGGTCCCAGGCCGTTTTAGGCCTGTTCTTCCTTTCGTAGTTGTCTCTCTCTAGATAGAATCATAGCACCTTTTAGATGCATTTAGTTGAATAGTTACTCCTTCCTTTTAGAGATGTAGATACAACCTTCCACCCTTTTCTTTCATCCTTTTCTCTTCCGGCTAATCCCTGCATTAGTCTGTACGTCACCCAATTTCATCTTTTCCCATCCCCTCCTCACACTAAGCCCACTTACCCATTCTATGCATCAACTCCCTGGTTACACCTGCAAACCCACATCCACTATTGAATAGTAGGTACAACATAAGGTTTTCTTTGACTTAGACTAGAATTATTCATACCTGATGTTCATTGATGTGCATTGAAGCTAAACCGGCTGAAGCTGCCGGGATAACTCCGGGTTGAATTGTGAGGTCCCCGACCTCGTGGTAAATGTGGTTTTGGAATATGATAAGACTTGTTTTCAAAAAAAAAAAAAAAAAAAAAAAAGGCCTCTCATCCTGTATTGTGGATCAGTCCAAACAGCTTGGTGGGGGGTTTTAACTTAGTTTCTCTAACTTGCACCAGATAGTGCAACAATACCAGATAGTTGTGGATCAGNTACCAGATAGTTGTGGATCAGTCCAAACAGCTTGGTGGGGGGTTTTAACTTAGTTTCTCTAACTTGCACCAGATAGTGCAACAATACCAGATAGTGCTGTCTGTACATCTTCATACATAGATACACGAAGCATACACAGCCTTTGGGTATACACATACATGCAAACTGCACAACTATCAGACTGGGGGGGTCTAGTCACTGGGTGGGGTCTAGTATCTGCGGTAGGGACAGGTATGGGCCACCGGAGTTCCTACTGATATTATGGTAGAACTGTCCAGTAGCTATATATAAGGCTTAGACCCTGGGGTAAGGGTAGGGGTATAAGTCGCTCAGGCCAGTCCGAGTTCCGCCTGACCTTGGGTAAGCTAGGGGAAGGACAGTAAGACTGCTTCAATGGGTGCTACCCTGTCTGAAACCTAGGGCCCAGAGTCTCTTGGGGCCTGTAGTAGATTGTCTGGGCCTGGCGTCCGAAGTTCCCGTTCCACAAGGCTCGCCCGATTCCGCTTCCACCAGGGCTGGGCAACCTATCATGAATCAGCCCTGGTGCCTATCACTGCTGTTCGGTCCAAGTTACCTGCCCATTGGTAGGGTAATGGTCCTGAGTGCTGGTCACACTGAGGTAGGATAGTGGGATAGGGGGTGCGCTAGGAGTATCCAGTTGATGTAGCTCAGTGGTTAGAGCACCGGTTGGAAATGCGCATTGTGGTATGAGGTTGTGGGTTCAAAACTCCGCAGCCTCGCGCATGGACACCGGCAGGGCGTTAGAATGATGCACGGCTGGACGCATGGTACTATTACAGACGCTGCCTGTGCACCACCCAGGGGGTCAGTTCATGGATGTTGTATGGTGGTCTAGTCTTCACGTTGGTTGCTTCTTGTTGTTGGCTTTGGTCGCTCTGATAATCTCCCCCAGCCCAGACATTACACACATTATATCCACTTCCCACGGTAGTACAAGTGGTAGAACCCTCCAGTTTCATACTGAAGGTCACAGGTTCAAGTCCGGTTCCGGACTTTGGGGGCGGTCCTGTCCAGATAGACCTGTCTCTACCACATATATACATACATGAGATACTACCCCAGATAATCCGTACACACATATATACAATACTCAAGGTACACATTCACATACACGTACTAGTGGAGGTGATAAGAGCACCTCTCACCAGTACTCAGTACTCACTTCGCAGATGCTCCATGGTGGGGAGCAGCATATAACCATATATATGGCCCACGGGCACACATCTATGCACAGTACATATACACACATACACACATACACACATACACATAAATATATACACAAGGGCTGGGTGGAGGTCACGATCAACTGGTAATGATGATAAGGCGTCTCGATGATAAGTACCCCGCCTTAAATATACTGTGTGGTGGGAGAGAGTAGAGGGCGTGAGTAGGCGTCTCGATGATAAGTACCCCGCCTTAAATGTATAGTGTGGTGGGAGAGAGTAGAGGGCGTGAGTTACTAGTTGGTCAATTTAGGGGCCACTAGGTGATTTGCTTGAGCCCGTACGATGAGGTTCGTTCGACTATGCTTCAACCAGGGCTGGGTCGCTAGCCCTGGTGCCGGTCACTACTGTTCGGTCCAAGTTACCTGCCCATTGGTAGGGTAATGGTCCTGAGTGCTGGTCACACTTCGGTAGGATAGTAGGGATAGGGGACCCAATACCCCAGAATGCATTGGTTCCTTTGTCTTGGTATGGCAGAGATTCTGAGTAGCAAGAGTTCTCGCAGGACAGAGTATCTTAGTTAAGGAAAAAGGGAGCTAGCAAGTAATTATAGAATTCTGGCGCCGAGATTTTGGTGAAGAGGCTCCATCCTTTCTCGCCCTGCTCAGTCAATCCCCTGGCCTCCAGGGCAATCAATACTGACAGGCTGTTCCTACAGTTCTTCTGTCCCATGTGCTTGTCTGACGACACTTCAACTGTATCTTTCTCATCAGGGACGCTGGACCCGGTTTCCAGCAGGTGACGCTCCCCACCAATAGATGGAGCCTTTCCCCAGGTGGTAGTGATGTCTGCTTTTCTCAGCATCACTATCACTGGAGGGTCTGTTTAAAAA